AGCCCAGTGTCCGGTGCGAGCTCGCGGGGATGCAGTCCCGGGAGCATCCCTTGCCCCGTCCCTGTGACACCGCTGCTCATCGCCCTTCCAGCCCCTGCTTCCTGCGGCGGCCGCGGGCACAGCTCCTGCTCCTGCTGCTTCTGGCTGGCCAGGGGCCGAGAGAGGCCAGCAGCGGACAGGGGGACAGCAGGGACACGGCTGGGGGGCTGGGGGCACCCGTGGGCTGCTCCTGCTCCTAGGACAGCTCCCACCGAGATCTGAAACGTTTCCACAGGCGACGACACACGACAGCCGTCACGATGAACCCCAGTAGTGAGGCCGCTGCCCCTGCAGCGATTGCAGGGCTGGAGCTGAACGAACCTGCAGACACAGGGAGCTGTAACCACAGCTGCTCAGGGCAGCAAAACCCCAAGGGATGAGCAAATCCCCCCAGCACCAACTGCGGCACCGGTACAAGAGGCTGCAGCCCCATCCAAGCAATGGGGGGCAGGGCAAGGGCCCACAGATCACCACTCACCATCCACAACCGTCAGCTCCAGGCTGACTACCTGCGTGGGGCGGCCGAGCAGGACACACTGGTAGTGGCCCTGGTGCCAGGGCTCAGCGTGGTCCATCCACAGCGCAGAACTGCCACCCGTGGCCTCCTCCCGGTATTGAGATAGGGCGGCAGGGGTCCGCAGCCAGTGCACCGTGGCGTTCCCGGCACACTGCGCGTGGCACTCGATGCGCAGGGCTCTGCCCCGCGTCCCCGTGGGGGGCAGCGACCAAATCTGCAGGCTGCAGGCGGGCACTGAACGCACAGATGGCCCTGGGCTCACTGTGCCAGAGCCAGGGAGCGTGGCGGCAGCTGTGGGACTGCCTGCGACAAAGTCCCGGGACGCAGCACGCTCCGTGGAGGAGGGTGTGGTGGCAGCAGCCAGCTGCAGGGTGGTCCCAGCGTCAGGCTCCCGCGCTGTGGTGGGATCATGCGTGGGGACACTCGGCCCTGGGGGCAGCACTGTGGTGCTCAAAGGCCCGGCTGTGCTGGGGCTCCCCATGGAGGTGGCTGTGAACACACAGCAGCATCAGTCACAGGTGGCCTCTCTGCAGCCCCATCCCACTCCACTCTGAGCATAGCAAGCGGGAGCAAACGGGCACTGGCAGCAGGGACAGGGACAGGGATGGGGATGGGAGATTCGGGAATGGTGCAGAAGCAGGAGCTGCTCCTGTTCTGGCAAAGCTATTCCAAGCAGCATAGGGTGGTGGAGGTTGGCTCCAGCAAATGGAACATGTGGGGGCCGTGGTTCCCAGCCCCTCCTGGCACTCACCCCTAGCGCTCGCCACCACAGACGCCACCCTGGTGAAGGTCTCCTGCCCAACACGCAGCGTCACCTCGCACCTGAACTCCACCCCTTCTGCCACGTCTGTCCCATCCACTGCCAGGGTGGACACAATGTCATACAGCTCCTCGTCGGTCTCCGAGGCATCAAAGTCTGTGTTCTCCAGAGCCTGGTGCCCCCGGTACCAGGTGAGGGCCAGCCCAGTGACAGGGTGCACGCGTGCAGCCGAGCAGCGCAGGCTGGCGGGGCACCCCGGGCACAGGGTGTGGGGTGCTGCCTCCAGCTGCAGTGTGTCCGGGAGGGCTGCAGAGGAGGGGCAGAGCCAAGGTGATTTTTGGCAGCAGAGCCCAGGAGGGAGGAGGCTGCTTTGGGGATCCAGGGCTGTGCCAGGAGGCGGCAAGGGATGGGCTGGGGAGCTCTTACCGTAGACCTTCAGTTCAACAGTTTGCTGGTAGTGCTGCCCGTAGCAGCTGCCCTGGCAGATCTTCATGCCCTCCATGGCCACAGTGGCTTGGCTGATGTGCAGGATGCTGTGGGTGGGGAAGGATGTGATGGTTCCCAGGGCAGTATCCAGCCCCCTCCACTCCACCGTGCCTCCTGCGCAGGCCAGGGAGCAGTTCAGTTCTGTTGAGCCCCCGAACGGCACCACCGGCTCCCGCGGTGTCACCACCAGACTGTCAGCAGGGCGCCCTGGGCAGGAGGAAACCGCAGGGTGAGAGAAGGGGACAGTCACCAGAATCCTGAGCGCCAGGACGGGAAGCTGCAGCAGCGATGGGGGGGACCCAGCGGCTGTCAGGACTCAGCAACGGGGAGGCCCTGGGGCCACAGGGCCATGGGCAACGCAAGGAGAGCAGAGCTGGGCAGTGCAGTGGGTTGGGGGATAGGGGTGGCTCCTGGCCCCGTGGTACTCACCGCTGCAGCCCCACAGCGAGCTCAGGAGGAGGAGGACAGGAGCCGGCTCCATTGCCTGGACGGTAGCAGCAGGGGTGGTTTTCCTTCCTTTCTACCCTCCTTCCAGGGAGAGGGTGCCTCTGGCCAGGGCTGTCTCCTTCTGGCTGCCAGCCCCATCCTCAGCCCTTCTTAAGACCTGTAGGAACCGCCCCCATGAGCACCAGTCCCAGGGCCCCCACGACTTCCAGCCTGAGGGGTATTTCCAGAGGGAGGTTTCTGATTTTTTTCCAAGTTCGGCTCTTGCACAACAGCCGAGTGCCAAATCAGGAGTCCCAAACCCAAGAGAGCCCCTGGCCTGAAGGGTCCTCATGCGGCTGCAGGGGTCCCCATCACCCAACAAGACAGCCCTGCGCAGGCACGTGCACCCCAGGATGTGCCTCAGATCCAGCTTCATTCCCGGTTCTCACAGGCTTTGTCACGCAGCCAGAGCTCCCAAAAAAACAGCCCTTCCTTGACCCCAACAGCTGGGACGAGCAGCAGGCTGCTGGGGACACGTGGCTGTGGAAAGGGCCCTCCCCAAACGCAGGACCTGAGACACTGTCAGTCCTGCTGGCGGCTGCATTTATTCCCAGAACAGGGTGTTTTCAGGGATGGAAGCAGGTGTTCCTGGGAGGGTTGGTCTTGTGGTACAGACAGTGTTAGCACACTGAAGGTGTTGAGCATCCTGGGTTTTCCAGCCCCAAGGCGCTGGCACAGCCACAGTGCCTCTCCTGGGTCTCACAGCAGGTCTGGCATCGCTTCCTCACTCCTGCCCTGCTCCCCAGGGAGAGATGGGTCTGGTTCTGACCCGTCCTGTCCTGCCAGGATGGGGAAGGTGCCAAAGGGCTGAGGGAGGCATGAGCCCAGCCCTGCACCTCCTGTCATGGCAGGACCTGAGCATTTCCCATCTGGGAACTCTCCAGAGAAGCAACTCTGGTCACTTGGCGCGCCGCACATCCTTTCAGAAGGTCATGTCATTAATCCTCCGAGAGTCCAGGAGGCCTCCAAGCAAGGGAAGTGCTCTGTAAACACCCACCACCAAATGTGCACACTCAGCCCAAGCAGGTGATTGATGGCCCTGGGGTTTTTGTTCCTTCCATCCTGTGTTAACAGAGCCACTTCCTGGACTTTCCAGCAGCCACCGGAGCCTCTGGCCCAGCCACGGGACAGGCCATGGCCAGGCTGCTCCCACACTGCCTGGCTCTTCCCATCAATGAGACTGGGGACCTTGAGGCCAGGGCTTTGCCTCCCACTCCCACCCACATGATAAGAAAGTCCATGAATCAGAGTCCGAACCATAATTGAGCACTGACAGTGTGACCTCTTCAAAAGCAGCTTTACCAGACCTTCCTGGACCTCAAAAAATTAACAATTACCAGAAAGCCCGCGGTGATAGCGCGGCGCCTTTACCCCCTAGACCACCAGGGGCTGGAAAGACCTTCCCCGGATCTTCGCTCGCGAAGACTGGCCATTATTATTTACCAGAAAGCCCAGCACCTCGTGCTGCACTTCCTCCGGTTTGGGGCTTGCAAGTGCTCAGAGCTGCCCCAGCCACCCGCACAGGGGGGCATTGCAACTCCATAACTGGAGTTATGGAAACGATAAACCTCCAGCTCCACGAGGGCTGGTTCCAAAGGCTCAGCCATCGAGCTGGGGGGAGGGCAGGGGACTTGGCCCAGCTCAGAGTGACACAGCAGAGCCCCCAGGGCAGCTCTCACTCACCGAGCCCCTGAGCAGTGATTCACTGCAGCCCTCGCTCCACCACCCTCTCCTCTAATGGACTCGGACCTTCCTCTGGCCCAGAGGTGCACAGGAGCTCCTGGTGCCCCAGGCACAGACGAGAGATCAAGAGGTTGTATGCACAGGGTGAAAGGAGCACGCCTACACTCCAGGACAGGAAACCTTTGAAGGAACGAAGGGAAAGATTTGAAGGAATGAAGAGACTCAGAAGCCTGAACACTTTTCCTGGAAGCCAACTGTGCTTCCTCCCACAGGGCAGGAGTGGGGCCTTGTGCCGGGCAGTGCTCGGTCCAGAGCCATTGCTCAGGAAGCAAAACAGTTCAGTGTGGAGACACAAACCACTGGGGGACAAGCACTGGCTCTGGGACAGGATACCTCCGAGCCCCTCAGGCTGGGGTGTAGCCCCAGGCTGTGACCACTGACACCAGAAGGGACCACCACGCCGATGGGGGGAAGGGTGGCCACAACATCCTCTACTGCAACACATGCCCTTTGTTCTTCAGTGATGCCAAGTGAGAAAAGCTAATGGTTGTCTCTCAAATAAAGATGAAAACAGTAAAATAAAAACTAGTCCAGTCCAGAGGAAATAAATATAGAAAAAACAGGCTGTGTTAATGGCTCATGTTTCCAGGATACTGGCCATCAAGCACCAGCTCCCATCCCAGAGCTGACTCAGATGTGTTTATACTTCTTGTGATTATATTGTTCAATCAGGACCATCCTCAGCCACCAAAAAAAGTGTTTATAGGAGTCAGATAAGATCTAAATTAAACCTGGCTGGAAATTTAAACAATAGAGTGGGGGCTGCTAAAAACCAGTCTGGGAGAGTCTCCAGTGGGGCAGATGGAAGCCAGGGACCTGCTCCCCATCTTAGGCTAGGGCAGGGGCTGGCAGCTGACCCAGCTCACCCAAAACAGCCCCAAATCTTCACACCACTCTCAAAGGTCAGGTCAAGGGCTGGGCAGGAGCTGCCTGGTACTGCCAGTGAGGGGAGGAATCAGGACAGAGACCTTCAACACAACAGGAAAGCAGCAGTTTAATAAATAATCCATCAGAGGGAGAGATTAGCCAGTTCCAAACACAACCTGAACCGAAATAAATACATTTTATAGTTAGCTTAAAAAAGAGACACACAAACGCACGCAATGGTGAGAGAGGTGGGAGAGAGAGAGGTGGGACTCAGCCCATGCCCACGCTTTAAAGATACCACAGCTGTCAGCAGCCATTCAAGTGCAGAGAAAGAATAAAAACAGGGAAGTAAAATGTTACTACTTTGCAAAATTAATGGCAGAAGAGAAAACAATGGTGTAACTCAGGTTTTTAACGCAACAAGATCAGTGGCAACTCACTTGACCTGCGGCCATTAATGCTGGGACTGCAGACAGGCAATCAAGCCGATTTTTGCCTTGTGTTTGGGCATTACTGTTACCATCCTGAAATATAAGTCCCTGCAGACAAATCCTGGGAATTCTGATCTTAAACAGCCAGGCTCAGACACTGCACAGCAGATCAAGGTTATTTTAAAAGACTCCTTTTAAAAGTTGCATTTTCATATAAAGTAAAAAAAAAATGGCAAAATTAGTTGAATGCTCCACACAGCCTTTCCAAACTCCACGTGGGATGCTGTGGAAGTACCGGCCCTTCAGAATGAGACATTCTTCATTCGGCTCCGGGAACTTCAGCTCTGGCACCACTTGGCCCAGCTCCTGCTCTGTCACATAAAAGCAGAACAGTACGGGAGTCCCTGCGCTGAGGGGAGAGGAGGCACCAGACCAAGGCCCCACCAAACCAGATGACAGGAACCCCAGTAGGGTGGGAAGGAATCCACAGGCCAGCACAAGCCACCTTTCCACTGGTTCCCACTGCTGCCTGGTGCTGTACCTTCATGGCAGGAGAGCTGGTCACCAGCCAGGCTGCAGCCCCTCACCTGATAGTCACCTGTGGCAGCACCTGACCCTGAGCTTGAAGGCTGAAAAAGGCATCAAAACACTCCAGGCCCATGACACAGAAGCCAGGGCACATCAGCATCGCCAGAAGCTCAGGGATCTTGTCGTGAGGGACAGGACTGGGGAGGGAAGGTCACCGGATGGTTCTGCAGTCTGAGGGGAAGAAGAGGCTGAGAGGCCGCAGGCAGCAGCGGTGGTGAGAGGGAACGGGACCAAGAAACACATCAGTTTCAATAAACTATGGAATAAGGGAAAGGACTTATTTTTAAAAATATATCTCTATATACTTTATATCATATAAACTATGCTCGTCTTTTCATAATGTGCCGCTATATTGTACCTGTGAAGCTTCAAGTGCCTGTGTGTGAGCAAGGTAACAATTCTGTGTTTCACTTCATCTGTATGTGAGGGAAAAACCCACTTTAGCTCACTTTATCAAGTGTAAATCAACAGATCATCAGGACTTGGTAAAAAAGTCCCATCTAAAAAAGGCATTTTTGTGAGGAACACATAGGGAGGGGAACTGCTGCCTGGAAGTGCAAGTGACGGGATTTCCTTCAGAAAAAAAGCTTGCTATGTACGCACAAGTACTGACCATCCCAGCAATATTTGGGAATTGGGAGTGTCGCCACAAGGAGCTTGGGAAAAGTGGAGTCACGGCAGGTCACTGAAGTTCCTGCTGGCTCTGCTCCCCAGCCCTGCAGCCAGACCCACCTCAGCGTCCCTCCCTGTCCGAGACGGCCGCACTCTGCTCGCAGAACGGGCTTCTCCCAGTTGTGAGCACAGGATCCAGTACCAGGCCAGATCGATGAAAAACAGTCAACCCTTTCACTTAAACATCCACCTTCAATAACCAACTGGTCCAGAAAACTGGTAAACAGACACTGTGTTACCAGTTACCCAGGCTGGGCAGGCAGCTGGTCCTGGCTGTCAGAGTCTGACAGGCACATAAGGGATCCATATGAAGTTGCCACCCTTGCTGTGCCCAGAGCCAACACCGAAGAGCCCCAAGAGGCTCTGGAGCAGTCAGAGGGTGCTCCCAGGCAGAGCGGGGATGGGCAGCACTGCCCTGTGTGTGCCCACGACGTGAAGGGCCAACACTCCCTCCCTTTTGGTTGCTCTTCCCTGGGTTACCTGTCCCAAACCCCCAGAGAGGGGACCCTGCCCAGAGAATGGCTATGGCTGCACTGGCCCCCGCTCTGAGGCAGGACTGGTTTGGCCCCTGTAGCCGTAATTCCCTTAACAACCGATTCCTGGAGTGTTCCCAGTTTGGTCTTTACTTCCCAGAACTGCTCGGTGCCATTATTTCTGATTTACTTAAATGAGAACAATCGTTTCCTGCCCTCTGTCACATCTTTATAAACAACCACACGTTCCCTGGTTGTCTCAGCTTCTTTCACAATGCTTCAAGCACCTCCGGCTCTTTCTGAGCAGAGGTTGCAATTTCACTGTTTTATAAACAAAAGCCTTCATGGCAGGCTCAGAAATGCCACATGGAGTCCAAATCAACACAATCCTCACCATTAGGATCTCCTGGACCAAGAACAAACCAGCTCCAAGCATTCTCTGGGTTTAACATTAGATGGCAGGAGCCACCATGCTTTATACAAGTGCTCAAGGTAAACAGCCATTTCTCTGACCTTTCTTCCATGAAACCACATTCTCCAAAGTGCTCGGCACAGTTTAGTTGTTTGTCTGACCTCCCAGACAACGGTATCTCCTAAACAACACTCACAGCTCCATAAAGATTTCTGAAAAATTCTGCTACCTACTGCCTGTGGAGGCAGTGACAGGCAAATGCCACCTCAACATGACAAAAAGAGGAAAACCAAACAGAACCACGGCCATTGCAGCCATTCAAGCATTTATAATTCGTGTAGTTGCCCTCCTCTCACCTGCCCATTCTCCTTTCTGTGAGCTGCAACTTGACTTCTTAATCTTTATCCTCTTCATCAGAACATTAAGTCAGTACATTTTTTTTTTTGGTCTAAGTTTCACTTGGGGCAGAATGGGCAAATTCCTCAGGTCCTCGGGCAGTGAGGAGCTCCACCCCTTGTGCTCCACACAGCACCCATCTGCTTGGCTCAGCGTGTCACCGCAGCCCAGGCCACACACACCGCACAGGGGGTGCCAGGCCCGCTCTGGGGGCTGCCAGGGACCAGTGGCAGGAATCAGCTGTATCAGGGATCAGGCACAGAGCAGATGCCGTGTTTTATTCTGGGGGACAGCCCAGTGAGTTCCCACCAAACACAGACCATGCCAGCTCCAACCTTTGTGACTGGCGAGTGGAGGGTTTGGCAGGGCACAGCACGGGGCGCAGGGTTCACGCACAAGGGCAGGTTTGCTTTCCAGAACTAGCCTTCCACATGGAGCAGTTCCGTATGTCCCCTTTCCATCAACACCAGGTGATACAATTCCATTTTTGCACCAGCTGTGTGTATTTGGCTTGAAGGGAAACCCCGTCCCCTCCTCAGTAGCTGTTAGCAGCACAGTCTGTTACCTCGGCTCCTCTCTCCCCCTCCGAACTCCTGCCGAGTCCATTCTTGAAGTGGAGTTGAGCTGCGAGGCAGGTCCCGCTGTCCCACCTCACACGCTGCTGTCCTCCAGCAAGGGCTCCTTGCCATCCGACCCCCCGGCTGGTGGGCTGTGGGGGTGGGCCTGGGCCCCCGTACTGTGCTTCTTGTGGCCGCCTGACCTCAGCACCAGGTTGTGTTCCGGAATGAACAGGGCCACCAGCAGCGACAGCAGCACAGAGCATGCCCCGAACAGGAAGGGTGGCCCAGGGATGATGCTGCTCTGTAGGGAGAGACACAGGAAGGATTCACAGGAGAGGGCAGACGCAGCCTGGCAAAGAGGTAAGCTGATAGGCAAATAAGCTGAACAGGTACCTCATCTGTAGGGTTGGCCATGTTGGGTTTGGAGGCCTTGCCCAAGGTTTCCACCTCAGCCATTTCATTCAACTCCACGTGGAAGAGATAGAAGACAAAGCCATAGAGTGCCGGCCCCAGGCCATTACAAAGACCCCGAATTCCAGTGATCATCCCCTGCACCACACCTGGAGACAGAGTGAGGAAGGGAGGATATGCCTCCAGGTTTCCAAAGAAACTTGTTTTATTCAGAGATGCTTACACATTTGGAGACAGGATCAAGCAGCAATTTCCAATGAACTGGAATTTAAGGCAATCAGGTCTGAGGATTCAGGTCCAAACCATGAGGCTGGCAAAACGCAGCAGTCTCCTCTGCCTCGGAGAGTTAACACTGAACACCCACATGCATAACTTGGGAGTTCCCTTGCAATGCACCAGCCACGGTCAAAGACAAAACTGTCAATACTACTGGGAGTACAGCGACACTCCACAGCTGGCACAGATGCTTCTAACCACCCCTCCACCACCACAGCCAAGAGCCCACCCATGTGCCAGCTCAGCACCTGCTGGGATGGACCCCTGAGCACTCACCCTGCTGGTCAGGGTCCGCATTCCTCGACACCATGGCACTGATGGCTGGGAAGGTGATGCTGGACATGGCAGCCACAGCTCCTGCTGCCCACATCATCCTAGGGAGGAGGCAGCGGTGAGGCCCAGGCACAGCCTTAGCCAGCGCCAGGGGCAGGAGTGGCTGTGGAGCCACCGCGGAGGGAGAGAAACATGGACAAACCCTCACCAAGGCTGTGATCCAAAGCCATACCAGGCAAGCTGCAGGATCTGGAAGCCTAGTCCCAGAAGGATGGTGTTTTTATTTCCTATGGAACGCATAAGAATTCCCAACACAACTGTCTGGAAAGAAAAACAGGTGTTTTCAAAGCAGGGGCAAAGAAAGATGACAACACAGGAGACAAGAGGATGGGAACCTGAGAGACCTTGACAATCCTTGTGGGTGCCTTCTAACTCAAGGTCTTCTGTGATTCAAAAGTCTGTGTGGCCACAGGGGTTCTGACTACTCAGCAGCCCCGAAATCACAAATTTTGGACATTTCTACAGCAGACTCTCAAGTCAAGACAGAAATTGCTTCTCACCTGAGCCAGTATAGAGAGAATTCCAACTACTCCGATAAAGGCTGCTACAGTCTCTGAGGAAAAGCCAATGACCTGTGAAAACACCAAAGAGGGACTTTTCAGGCAGAAGATTTGTATCAGATGACAAGAGCCACTCCACAGATGTCACCCATGCTTACTGATGTTACTTCCCAGGGCCCTGCACATTAACCAGCCACTGCCTCTGGGCTGCCAGAGGAACCAAAGGGAAGATTTTTCTCTGGATGAAGAATCAGCTTTAAATCACTGAAGGTGCCTGAAGGTGGCATGGCCAGGATGGCCAGGCAGATGCCAGCAAAGAGCCAAACCAGGTCTTGCCCTTCGCAATGCCTACAGAGCAGTCACCAGGCTCACACATTTTTCAGGAAAGGTGGAACAAGTCACTGTTTCTTACAACTTCAGTTTTACTGAGCTATTGGCCAAAATGAGCCACCTCAGGACATGCAACTCTAACAGTATTTCTAGGCCAGGATTTCCTGCACCCAGAGTTTTACCCCCTCACCAGAGACTGACCTGTCGCAGGTACAGGAAGAAGCTGGAGTACTGGCCGGCTTCAGGAAGGTAGGAGAGAAAGACGGTGATACAGATGAGCAGCACTGTAGAGTCCTGACCCACCTTCCGCAACGACTGCAGGGAAGGGGGAGGGGAATGAGAAAGAATGTTTTTAAAATTGAGTTGATATCATTGAATAATCTCCAGGTACAGAGACAGGCAAACCAAGGGCTTAAGTCACAGCAGAACTAAAGCAAACATCAAGCATTACAGCAGCATCACTCACAGCAAATGGGTCGGCTTGTTCCCAAGAAATTGGGGCTCCCCAGGAGACCGGGCGCATCTCTTCTGGCAGTGACTCCGGCACAGCCAGCAGGATGAAGCCAATATCCAGTAAAGCAACACCTGAGGCCAGCACAACCACCAAGGTATCACCGTAGGCTTGGGAAAGGTATGCGCCGATGGCCGGGCTGGTGACCAGACTGGCAGCAAATGTGGCTGACACCTGGAAGGATAAAACATTCCTACAGCCTCTTCTTCCTAGAGCCCATTTCCTCCTCCACACTGACCCAGGGGAACTCCTTCTCCCACTTTGATGAAGATAATGGAAGTGAACAGGGACTCACAGGGACTCCTGCACACAGACAGGTAGCCCAGATTGCACCAAGAGAACCTGTTAAGTTCTAGCAAAGGAAAATCAAAGCTGTCCTAGCAATTTCCATATGGTCCTGTCAGTAAAGCTACAGGAAAGGCAGGATCCCACAGAGCATCACAGCTCCTGCTTTCCTGATGTGGAAAAGCTCACAGGCCACGCTGGTTTACAGGCTAAACTACACCACAGCCAGCACTCGAACTCTGCAGAGATCAGCCTTTCCCTCTGAGCTAAATCCCAAGCAGGACAGGGATACTATATGTTTAGGCAATAAATCTCCCACCCTAACTTTATACCTCTCCTACCTGCAAAGCCCCAAATATTTCTTTCAAGGCACAAACCAGTGCCTGAGCTCCTTACCAAGCCATATGCCGTGCTGCGCTCATGCTCCTGTGTGATGTCGGCAACGTAGGCAAAAATCACGGAAAACGTGACAGCAAACACTCCAGACATGGAAATGACAGCAAAGTACCACCTGAAAGAGGAAGTGCCCAAGGCAGAGTTAGAGAGCAACCACACCACAGTCCACAGCTGCCGAAGCAAAGCCTCCCCCTCATTCTTCAGTCCATCCTGCTCTGGTGCAGAACACTCTGGTACACTCAGAAATATGGAGCCTCAGTCTGGGGTCCCTGGAGTTTTATCACTTATTTTCCCTAAATGCACTGATCAGAGGAACAAGGACCAGGAGAGGACAGACAGACCCTCTACTCCCAACTGAACCCTCCCGCAGAACCAGACAAGTCAGTCTATAGGCTGAGCATCCTCCTCCACCAGACAGACTCTTCCATCTCACTGTAAAACAAGCACCAGCCATTGTTTGGCCTTGTGCTTCTTCCCCTCCTCAGAACGCTGGGGCTGTACCGAGGGTGAACTTACCACGGGCTGATCTTCATCAGGGGAATTGGTGCACACGTGAAGAAGACGGTGAGGAGGAGGAAGGATTTCCTGCCCCAGACATCAGAGAGAGCACCAATCAGCGGAGCACTTAGGAAAGAGAGCAGACCCTGGGACAGAGAGACAGATGGAAGGGGGAAGAGAAACCCCTCAGATTCTGTCTGCTGACAGTGAGAGCTTTAGACAGGAGGAGGCAGCCCATTCCTGATTGCTGCAAGCAGCAATGCAGTTGCAACAGAGTAGTTTAACAAACTGCTCACATCCTTTCAGAGAGGGAAAAATAAATCCTTGACCAGCAAGGCCCTGCTGAGCACTCCCACTCCCTCCTGCTCTCTGCACAGCTCTGCCCATGGCTGTGGGTGCCTGGGCAGCCCTGCCAGGACCTGGAAAGCTGCTGGCACAGTTCCACCACGGCAGCACCTGCTGCAACTCTGGGGAAAGCTTTCTCTTGTAGGTGGAGACAGGACAGACACAATGAGAAGCCAGGACCATTAAGCACAAATAAAATTGTGCTTAAGGCCTTTCCACATCTCTCAGACCCGAGGCAGGTAAGGCAGAGCCCTTCAGTGCCAAGGGGAGTGCCCAGCCTCTCTGGGGCTATTTTCCAAGATCCTCTTGACAAAGACTGACAAGAACAGTCTGTTTTGCCTGATTCTCCAGTCAGAACACATGACTACGGCTTGTTGCCTATCGTTACCTCCAATCCTGCTCTGGGAATGCTGGTCTAGTGCAAGCTCACCATGCCCTCTCCCTGTGCCATGGCACATTCCCATCTCCTGTCTGAGGGAGCTGCTGAGGCTGCTGGGCTTCTACTACTGACAAGTTCAGATGTCACTGATTTATCATTCTGTTACGCTCCAGAAGATGAGTACAAGGGCTGATCTCATGCTGATGAGAATATTTCCAGCTGAAACACTCAGCTGTTGTAGCTCCAGCTCCACGCTGACAAGCAGCACATTGTCATTACCACTCAGCAAAATCAGCTGCACAAGCTGCCCCATGTCAGTGTACTTCCTTTTGCATCAGGTTTGCCAGAGCCCCCAAAATGAAATATGAACATTGAGCTGACAAATATTGGTTGACATCAGCAAATTACATGGATAATAATGGCTTCTCCCTTCTTGCAGTGATGGCAGATTTAAAGGAAAGCCTGGAAGGAACATTCCTTACCTTGACTCCGTGAATCAGGCCATTCATCAGGAACGTGTGCTGAGGAAAAGTCTGGTGTAACACCTGGGGGAAAAGAAATCAAAACCAAAAGGAAAAAGTCAGAGCTGGCAACTGTTGCAAAATTTCCTTCAGCACCTGACAGCCTAGAGGCCTGGAAGGGCACAATCCAGGGAAAAGGGGAAATACCCTCAAATGATGCCTCTTCGTGAGGAGGTCTGGCTGCCCTCTCCAGCACAGCCAGCCACTGTCTTTAACACCTTCCAGATCTATAAATTGTTCCAGCATGCTTGGGTGAGGCTAAGAGAGCCTGATATGTGCCTTTATCCATCCGTACCCCACCTGAGTACCCTCTGGTTTTACTTCACGTCACCACGTCACCTCTCTGTGGTTCTCTTTGTGCTGTCTGTATGTTTGATTCACATTTTATATTGCCAGGTTACTACTGTGTCTAAATGTCTCTGCACAACCAAAGACCCCTTTTCCACAGTTTCCCTTGGAAAGGCATGTGCTAAGACTTCAGGAGCCCAAGGAGAGCTCCCAAGGCAGTGCTGTCCCAAGGAGATGTGCTCACCGTCAGCATCGGTGTGGTCAGCAGCCCCCAGGCAAAGAACTCCAGGAAAATCACCACCACAGCGTGGTACACGCTGGGGTCCCCAATCCCCTGTCGCTGCAAAACAGAGCACCTTAAGTCAAAAACTTTTCAGCGGCCACGTCCTCCCCGGACGGAGCATCTCAGAGAGCTCACACAGCCGGAAGGGGTCTGAGAACGAGAGACACAGTCCTGCTGAAACGGTGTTTCTGTTCACAGACCCCCCCAATCCACCTCCCGCAGACAGCTCAGGCTGCTCGAACCCACCCCCAGCGCCACGGCGGGGGATTCCCGGCCCGCACTGAACGGGAGCGCACCGGGGACGCGGCACAACGCCCCCCGCCCCGGCGTCACCGAGCCTGGAAAGCCCCCAGGCCCACCGGGGCCGGACCCCGACTCGGGCACCCGGAGGGGCGGCAGCACGAGGGTCCCCTCGCCCCGGGCCCCTCCGCCCCCCAGCCCCGCGCTCACGCCGGCCCCGTCCCGGATCACGATCTTCTTGGCCAGCAGGACGCTGCGGTTGAGCCGCTTTTTCTTCTTCTTCTCGCCGGTCATGGCGCCGCCGGGCCGCAGCCGATCGCTGGCCGCCGCGGCTGCCCCATCCTCCCTGCGGCGGGCCGGGCCGAGCCGGGCCGAGCCGGGCCCGGAGCCCGAACCGGAGCCGGACCGGCACCGGCACCGGGCGGGGAGCGCCGGGCCCGGGGCTGCGGGTGAGGGGGCGGCTCCGTCCGCAGGCCCCGCCCCCGGCCCGGCCACCAGCAATTCCGGGGCGCCGATTCTCGCGCCTCATTGGCTGTTCCGCCTCTTCCCGATCGGCCACCCTGGACTGTGATTGGATGAGGGGGTGGGGGGCGGAGCTTTCCCGCTGGCCTGGGCGAGGCCGTGACGTCACGAGCGGTCCCGGTCCCTCACGGGGACATCGGAGCATCGCCGGTGCCCCGGGGCTCGCGGGCGCCTTCGGGGGCCGGCGGGAGCGGCTGAGGCCCCGTCCCCGCGTTACCGACGCCTGGCCCGGGCCGGGCGGGTCGAGCGGGGACACACGGCTGCCCCGGGGTGGCGGCACCGGAGGCTGCGGAAGGACCTTCGGCACTCGTGCGGGCCGGATAAGATTGACTGGGCAGAGTTTAGGCAAATTTTATGCGCGACGGGGCCCCTCTGCTCGCACCCACCCCCGCTCAGGCAGTCGCCTCGGGCAGCGGAAGCACCCGGCGGTGGTCGGGGGGCCACCGGGGGAGCCTGGAGGTGCCTCGTCATGGGGCAGCGAGAGGCTGCGGGGCTCCCGCACACTCGCGGAGCGCCGGAGGCTGCGATCCAGCCTTTGTCCATCGAGGTTTTCCTTTAACCAAGGATTAAAAGAGATGAGAGTAATCCCCTGGCTTCCTTCCCGGGGCTTGTGCGGGAGTGGCTCCATCTCCCCAGGGCTGCTGTGCTGTCCCCAGGCCACGGAGTGCCCGCGGTCCCCAGAGTGCTCTGCACTTGGCATCGGGTAAAACGCCTGTAACCTCCATAGGCACACGGTGCCTTCCCTTGGCTTGACCCCCAGCTCCCGGGAATGTGCACCCAGAGCACCAGGGCTGGGCAGGGAGTCCCCCCTGGGCCCTGCTGGAGCCGCTGCGAGAGCACGGTGGAGCCTGACTTGTTCCAGTGCTCTACAGCGCCTTAAAACCAAGGAGAGAACGGAGAGCAGGGAAGCTGTTCCGAACACGGCAACAGCAGATGCAATTCTATTACCTTGATTTATTGATCCCACTTAGAGCAATTACTGGCTATCACACCACACCACATCCCCCCTCCCGGCGTCACCTTCCAGGGAGCAGGAGACAGTGAGGAGGAGAGACAAAGGCGACCGCATCGCCCAGGGCATGGCCGGCCCTCGGGGAGGCTCCGGTTTTGTTTGCGCCAGTTAGTGCAGAAGGAGGGGACGCCGGGGGGAGTGGCCGCAGCGGCATCGCCTCTGCAGCCCCGAGGGCAGGCGGCTCCCAGCCGGCTCCTCGGGAAGTTGGAGCCGAGCACGTCAGCTCTGGGGGAGCCTGTGATGTTGCAGGAATTGAGCCCCGATATTACGACCACTTTGGCAGTGGAGGGGATGCAGGGCTGGGGAAAAGTGAAGATCCCCAGGGCTCTGGCACAGCAAAACTGCTGTAGGTCCACTCTGGGCCCCCTTGCACTTCTAGGCCCAGCCAACCTCGGGTCCTCTTAACTGCTTGAAAAACGCCGCAGGCCCAGGGCAGGAGGAAGGACGAGTGGCTCTACTGAGATCAGAAAGTCCCTTTAAGGGTTTTGGGGTTTTTTTCCCTGCTTGCTGCAGTTACAGACAGAAAACCAAGAAAATGGTGGTGGTTTTCGCTACCTGAGCCCTCCAGAGAGATATAAACAAAAGGGAGCCAGTTCTGGCTTTGGAGACAGATGAAATCAGAGCAAATGAGACCAGTGGGCTGGGAGGCACATAAATAGGACAGCCTAGTTGTGCAGTGAAGCCTGGCCAAACCCCTCCTCCCCCTCTCCGGCCAGCCCTGGGCTCTTGCAGCGCTTTTCGGGAACGCAGAGGTAGAAAGAGCAGAAAACGCCCCCGCTGTGGATGAAGGCAGCGCCGGGCGCTGCTTACCCCTTTCCCTCCAGCTAATGCATAGCGCAAGTGCGCAACAGCCTGTGCTCGGCCGCGGGCCACGGACAGCGGGTTGGGAGCAGGATGGAGGGCAGAGCGTGGGTGGCTCCGGCCCCACGAGTCGTGTTTGCGGGGCCAGCTCAGTCGTGGGGTGGGGTTGTGGGCCTGGGGGATGCTCGGGTGGGCGGGGATGCTGGGAGGACGAGATGCTCTGGCGGCCGCGGGTCCAGCCCGGCGGGGGAGCCGGGGGCGGGGGATGCGGGGCCGGGCGGGCGGCGGAGCGCTCACACCATGACATCAGCGCGGCGCGGCCCCGGGGGAGCGGGCGGGGGGCGGGAGCCGGCGCGGCGGCGGAGCGGAGCGGCGGAGCGGGCGGAGCGGCGCGCAGCCCGGGCATGCTCCCGGAGCCCAAGTATGACCGCTTCCGCGACGAGCCGCTGACCACCCCATGCCGTCGCCGGCCCCCGGGCCTTGCCCCGCGGCGGGCGAGGAGCCTGAGCACGGCACCACCTTCTGCGCGCTGCTGCCGCGGATGCCGCAGTGGAAGTTCCCCGGCTCCGGCGGCTTCCTCGGCCGCGGCCCCACCGGCGCCGCCCGAGACCCCCGCCGCTGCAGGGCCCCCTCAGGGCTGGCCGCCGTCCTGGGCGCCTGCGAGCCGCTCTGCACCGCGCCCTGTGCGCTGCCGGCCGGCGGGCGGACCCGGGGGCGGCGGGGAGGGCTCGGGGGCGGCGGCGGCGGCGGGGCCCGGCACGGCGGGGACGAATGGAGTCGCAAGGGCAGCTTCATCCGCAAACCGGCACAGGGCTGGCTGCACCCCGACGAGCGGGTGCTGGGGCCCGGCGTCTCCTACATCGTCCGGGTAAGTCCCGCCGGAGCCCGGCGGCGCGGGAGAGCGCGGAGACCCCGGCCTCGCGGGTGTGCGGGGCTCGGCGGGTCCGGCCACTCCTCCTGACGGCTGCGGGCAGAGCCCCCGATCGAGTTCTACCCATGGCTACCCCAGGGCAGCCGCCCCTGACACACGCAGGTCCCGGGATGGGGCTGGGGGCCGGGGGCTTCCTGGGCCGGGCAACCTGCCTCGGGACCCTGCCACAGTCAGCCCCCAGAGGCATCACAAACTGTAGCACACAGATGAGTTTGTGGGGTCTCAGCTTGGGGCCTGGCCATGTGATGGGGCATTTTGGGGTGGTGGGTGAAAGGCTGCTCTGTGAGCCTTGGAGCTGGTGTGGAAGGAGCCTTTCTCACTGACACCCAGCCTCTCTCCTCTCCACTGCCTGCCCTGGGCTGCTCTGACCGTGTACCCCCCTGCAGTACATGGGGTGCATTGAAGTGCTGCGTTCCATGAGGTCCCTCGACTTTAACACCCGGACACAGGTCACCAGGTACGGTCCCACAGTCCCACTCTCCCATCCCTCAGTGCCACCCAAAGCCCCCAGTGGCCCTGGGTGCTCCCCTTCCCCAGTGCCCTGTGGAGAGATGGACATGGGTCCAGGGGAGCCCTGCCCCACAGGACCCGCCCTGCACACGGGGACACAGACGAAGGGCACTGCCATAGATCAATGGGTGGAAAGAGGAGAAGGGAGGTGGCCCCTGCCTGGATTACGTAGTGCAGGCTGTGACGTGGGGCAGCACTGTGAGGAAGCTGCGACACCTGAGGCTGTGGGGGCTCAAGCTTCCAGACCCCACAGAGCCATGCGTTGGGGGGGAGGCAGCTGGGAAGAGCCAGGGGTCTGGAGCAGTGACCAGGCTGGGGGCCTTCCCTTGCAGGGAAGCCATCAACAGACTGTATGAGGCAGTGCCAGGTGTGAAGGGCATCTGGAAGAAGAAGGTAAGTTTCCACTCAGTTTGTCCCTCCCTGGGGCAAGCTGAGACTGCGGTACAAGGCACTGAGGGTGCCTGCCCAGTGTGTGGGTCTGGGGTTTTTTGGGGCACCCCTCTTTTTCTTGTTCACCTCAGGAAGCCTGGTCCTGGTAGGCTGCATCACCCCCACCGTCTTCTCCCCTGTCAGGCTCCAAACAAAGCCCTGTTCTCCATCCTGGGCAAGAGCAACCTGCGCTTTGCTGGCATGAGCATTGCTGTCAACATCTCCGTTGATGGGCTGAACCTCATGATCCCTACCACGCGCCAGGTGACAGTGTTCCTGGGCACATGGTCCTACTGCCTCCTAGCCTGTGAGCTGGGGGCTGGTGGCCCCTGTACTAATGCCCCCACCGGGCCATGTCCCCCACACAGATCATCGCTAACCACCACATGCAGTCCATCTCCTTCGCCTCCGGTGGGGACATGGTGAGGCATGCACACCTTGGCCCTCCCCTGGCTACACTCCCACAGGGCAGTGGGGACAGGGGCTGCCTGTCCTATGGCTGAGCCAAGCACAGGGCAGCCTGGCTGTGGGTCAGGACGTGGGGCTGGGGCCGAGCTGTCCCCTCACCCCAGCACCCCCAGCCCCACGCACCATGCAGCAGCAGGACATGGGCCCTGAGCTCCCCCTGTGCCCCCAGGACACCATGGACTATGTCGCCTATGTTGCCAAGGATCCCATCAACCAGAGAGGTGACTCTGGCCCCCACACTCAGGAGCTTTGTGGAGGAGGAGGGATGCATTGGGGGGGGTGAAGGCTGGAGAAGGAGATCCCTTGTGGGGAGCACGAAGCTGTGCTCAGGGGGGCCCAGAGGGGCGATAGGAGTGTGGGGAAATCACTCAAGCCTGTCTGTCCACAGCCTGCCACATCCTGGAGTGCTGTGAGGGGCTGGCACAGAGCGTCATCAGCACAGTGGGACAGGCCTTTGAGCTGCGCTTCAAGCAGTACCTGCACAGCCCCCCCAAGGTGGTGGTACCCCCAGACAGGTATGGGAGATGAGGGGCCCTGCTGCAGCCCCTGTCCTGGGTACATCCCCTGGTGGAGGTGGCTCTGAGAGCCCCTATCACTGCTGAATGTGGGGAGGGTCTGAAGCAGGCAGAGCGTCCCCAGCTCACCGTCCCTGCTGCAGGGCACTGGGCGCAGAGGAGTCAGCCTGGGGGGAAGATGAGGAGGTGGCTGAGCACAACTACTACAACAGCATCCCAGGGAAGGAGCCCCCACCAGGGGGGCTGATTGACTCCCGGTTCCATCATGGCACAGTCCTGGGTCACGTCCGCACTCAGCCCTCCAGCTCTGTCCCCTCCAACCAGGTGAGCTCCCAGGGCCACTGCTGGCCCTGACGTGGGGGTCCCAGGCAGAGTCTCCCCAACACCCTCACTGTCTCCTTTCCCAGGGTGGGTTTGCAGCCAGGCGAGACCCTAACAGCCAACCGGGGCCACCCTGGGACCTGGAGAGCCAGGGTGGGTACTTCTGGGGGGAAAAGCCATAAGCTGGGGGGGGGGCCCATGGCTCTGCCCAGTCCTGGCCAGCAGTGATGCCCATCCTCCCAGGCCAGCCCTGCGACGGGTACCTGCAGGCGGATGGCCATCCCCTGGGGCCACGGGACTACGAGGAGCACATGTACGTGAACACGCAGAGCCTGGACGCCTGGGAACCGGAGGCAGTGGCTCACGGAGTGACAGAGGAGAGCCCCAAAAAGGACCTCTTTGACATGAGTAAGCCACTGCACCATGGAGGCTGGTGCTGGAGGCTGAGCTGTACTGTCAGCTGCCCAGCCCACCTGCCACAGCCCCAGAGGTGCCAGCACTGGCTGAGTCCAGAGAAGTGCCCTGCAGAGCACTGGGGGGCTGTGAGCCAGGGCCTGTCCTCACCACACCCCAGCCCTGCCTTGTGCCCCAGGGGTGACACCCTGCACCCCCTGGCTCCTGCAGGGCCTTTTGAGGATGCCCTAAAACTCCATGAGTGCATTGCAGGGGGTGGCACCAGCCCCCCCATCGAGGACCAGTGGCCAAGCCCCCCCACACGGAAGGCCCCCATTGCCCCCACGGAGGAGCAGCTCCGGCAGGAGCCCTGGTACCACGGAAAGATGAGCCGACGGGATGCTGAGAGGCTCCTGCAGATGGACGGGGACTTCCTGGTGCGGGACAGCCTCACCAACCCGGGGCAGTACGTCCTGACTGGCATGCACAGCGGGCAGCCCAAGCATCTTCTGCTGGTGGATCCCGAGGGAGTGGTGAGGGCAGGGCCCATGGCTGAGGGCAGGGTGGGTGATTGGGACCGGGGCAGGGGCAGGGCATGGGGTGGGTGGTGTGGAACATGGGCTGCAGGTGTGGTCAGGCACAGGGGTTGCAAGGGGATACTGAGTGCAAGGCAGGTCTCCTGAGTTCAGGACCACTGTACCTCGACCCCAGGTAAGGACCAAGGATGTGCTGTTTGAGAGCATCAGCCACCTCATCAGTCACCACCGACAGAATGAGCAGCCCATTGTGGCAGCAGAGAGCGAGCTGCACCTCCGCCAGGTTGTACAGAGAAAACAGTGACGCCGGGGGATACATTCCTGATCTGCTCCCCTGGCACTGGACTCACCTAAGCCCTGGGGCAAATCTGCAGTCCCTCTGTGCTCCCCTTCTCCGGTTGTGCCTGGCCTCTGCAGTCTGGGGTCAGGCTTCCCATCTTCCTCCCCAGCGGGGTCTTGCCATCCCTGGCCCTGTAAGTCCCCCCTGGCTGCTGCCTACCTCCATCATCCGCACGTGTGCTGGTGAAAGACTGTCAGGGGGGGAACTGGTGGGCAGCTTTAGCAGGAGGAGTGAAGCCCGAACCCATCTTCGACAGGGTTGCTCCTGCTTGTCCCAGCACTGGGACGAGGGCTGGTGGGCATAACTGTAGCCTCTGGTTTGGCTCTGCCCATGGGACTAGGCACAAACATCCCCTGGAAGCAGGGCTGAGCTGCTGGCACTGCCGTGGAGAGCTGGGGCTGCTGGGGACCAGAGGTATCCCATGGCCTGCGGAGAACCCCTGGCCAGCTCGGGATTTTGGAAGGTTTTTATGTCACATACAGCCCCTTCCCCCCTGTACCTGGCGCTCAGTGCAAGTTCGTGGTTTGGAATACATTTGTAATTAAACCTGAAAATGAGCAAGGCACCCAAGTGGTTCGTGCCACCCCTGGGCATGGTGCTGGGACAGGTCTCCATCACCACCAGTGCCTGTCTGGTCTCGCCTTGGCTGACCTGTCCTGTCCAGTCACATCTGTCTCTGCCCCCCTGGGTCACCCTGTCCCCTGTGGATTACCCAGTGCGCCCCTGGCTTCGGAGTGGGCTTTGGCACCCCTGTGGTCCTGCACTGCATTCTCCTCCTTGCATCTGGCAGCTTCCTGCCCTGCTGGGTCCCCTCATGCCTCCACCCAGGGCAGCATGTGGCCGCCTACCTCTAGGCCTCCTGCCATGGCCAGGCCAGCTCCAAGCAGCACAGAGCCAAGCTGTCCCTCAGTAGTTAATGTGGTAGCCAGTGGAGCAAGAGTCCTGGGTGGGCCTCACTGCAATTCCTGTGCTCCAGGTGGGCAGCAGCCACCTGGTGGGCCCAGCAGCTGGTGTCCTGTCCTGGCTCTGCCCTGTGTGCCTGGTGCTGCCACAAGCACCCACCTCAGGGAGCAGGGTCACCCCAGTACCCTCAGCCCCTTGCTAAGGGGACAGCCCTCACCAGACAAGGCAGCCAGGCTGGCCATTTTTGGTTGAGCCAATGAATAAAATAAGCCCCTAAATAAAGCCCAGTAATGAATGCGTAATTTTCCATTGATAGCTGGATTCCGCAGGGATGTGGTGCTTCTATCTCAGCTACTATTTTTTGTCATACAGTGATGCATCTGCAAAGATAATTGCACCTTTCCCTCAATAGAAGGGCAGGAAAAGGCAGTGAGAGCCCCAGCTCTCTTCTTTTGCTGCTGGAGAACAAGCCCATGTGGTTCTCTGGCTGCCACTGGCACTGCCTGGCCCAGCAGACCTGGGGATGCTGCCCTGAAGGAATGAAGGGCTAGGAGGAGGTTTGTTTCAGAGTTTAGCCACTTTGGTTGAGGGCAGTGTGTGGTGCTCATGGCCGAATGTGGCTCTGTGACCCCCACAGCTGGGTTGTAGGGCGGCTGCTTCTTCAGCCTGTGTAATGATGGGGAGGCTGAGCCGTTTTGGGAAGGTTTAGAAGCTACAGAAGAATGGCTGCAGAGGGATGTGGCCTCCTTGCTCTCCCACAGCCTTGGGGATCTCGACAACCAACCGTCTCTCCACTTGTCTCAAATGTGCCAGCAACAGACACTCCTCGGCTTGGTTTTCCAGGGTGTCCTGGCACAACCCCCTTCCCACAGAAGGACTCTCTCCTTCCCAGCTTCCAGCAGGTGGTAGCACACTGCCAGCTCCACTAGCTACACATCCCAGCACCTGCCACCCTGCTCCCCTCTGTGCCCTGCAGGCACTAGCCTCGAGTCGCGAGGGCAGAGCTCGCCCAGCTCCAGCGCTCTTTGTTATCTCAAGGGAGCTCAACCATTTCTGCACCTTGTTTACCCACCGGTTTGCAGGGTGGAGGAAAAGCAAACATAGACCTTTTGTTCACCAGCCACCCTTCCGTGAGCCTCCTCCTGCGGACTCCATCTGCCCTCTCCCCCCCCAACAGGAGCCGGCTCAGCACCCTGCAAGTGCAGAGCCCAGGGTCTAGCCAGGACACCACGGTCCCCCTTCCCCGCTCCTGTCCCTGAAACATCCCAGCCCTCGATCTGGCTGGGCTCGGCTGGATGCTTCCTTTTACGAGCTCCAAGTGGGAATGCAGAGGGAGCTGAGACCTCCCGCAGCAGCCCCTGCGGAAGGCGCTCATCGCTCCAGGCTCTCCTTCCTGGCCATCATTCCCAGCCCTGCACCGCTGTGGAATGATGGTGCTTCCCGGCGGCCTGACGGCATCCAGAGGGGAGCAGCCAGGAAGGAACAGCTGCTGACCCCTTCCGTGCCACTGTCCCGCTCGGTGCATCCCTGTCCCCAAGGCTGTAAATCCCCGCGGGACTGGGGCCGATCACCTGGTTGAGTCTCCCATCCGCGCTTCAGCATCGGGACTTGCAGTGATGCTCCGTGGACCCTCCTGACGTCTTGCCCCAGTGTCCCCAGCTACCACCGCATTCCACCAGGGGCCAGTGGGCTCTGTGACACAGGGGGTTGTGACCTGTGGCTCCTCCAGCGCGATATTAAGCCACTCAATGCTCTCGGCAATCCCTCAGCCCTGAGCCGCTGCTGGTTTCCTTCAGTGCTTTGAGCCCAAGAGCTCGGAGCGGGAAACGGCTGCTCCCAGAGGAGAACGACGGCCTCGGCCCCGGTCCCGGACCGAGGGCGCCGTGGGGAAGCACCGAACTGCCGCCGTCCCGATTCCGCTCCTGGTCCCATTCCAACCCCGACACTCCCATGGGCGGACGGCCAGGTGTGCCGGGGTCGGGGGACATCAGCATCCCGGGGCTCGGTCCCGGTCCCGGGCTCTGTCCAGCCAGGAGAGGCGCGCGAAAATGTGGAGGCGCCGCACTCGGAGGATTACGGCGGCGGTGCGGACGGGGAGCGGAGCCTCCGCTGCCGCTGCCGCCGTATAAAAGCGCGTCCGCGCCCGCCCCGCCCGGGCTGCGGTGGTGGCGGCGGCTCCGCTCCAGGTGCGGCGGTTCGCGGCAGCGTTTCGCTCGCGACGGCGCCCGTCGGTCGGTCGGTCGGTCGGTCGGTCAGGCGTCGCGTCGCGTCGCTTCGCTTCTGCCCCGTCCTATCGGATCGTTCGGCACCGCCGGGTCCCCGTTCCCCGGGTCTCCGACCCCTGCTCTGAGCGGCCGGTTTCTTCCCACTCCTTCCCGGGTTGGCGGGTTTCCCTGTTCCTGGACGCGGTCAGTTACTTCCCGTCCTTGTCCCGTCCCCCCGGGCTGCCGGGTCCGGCTCTCTCGCTGCCGCTGCTCGCTGCCGGGGCTGCCGGCTCCATCCTACCCCTGCCCCGGTGACAGCGTTGCCCCTCGGGTCTCTTGCAGCCCCACACCCGGCAGCAAGATGTGGCTCCTGGAGCGGCTGCGGGGGGTGGCGGAGAATGGTGGATCTCGGGGAGCGGGGCCGGAGGAATCCCCGCGGGGGTCCCGCTACAGCAACGTCCTCACCCCCGACAAGATCCCCGACTTCTTCATCCCGCCCAAGCTGAGCGCGGCGCCCGCGGAGGCCGAGGGCTCCGAACTCCCCGCAGCGGCTGCCCTGGGCCCTTCAGTCTCAGAGCAGGACCTGGCCGGGCGCAAGCCCCCGCGCAGTCCTCGCCCGTCCAGCCGGTCCCGGTCCCGGGCCGCCGGCCGGCACATCATCCAGATAGAGACCGCCGAGGACTGGACGGCTGAGGGGAGCTGCGGCACAAACGTAGACCCGCAGGCACAGACGGCCATGTCTCTGCCCTATGTGCCCAAGGCACAGACCTCCTATGGCTTTGCCACGCTGATGGAGAGCCCCCACACCCGGCGCAAAGAGTCACTCTTCCACAGCGAGCACAGCAGCCTCTGCCCCTCGCCCGTCACTTCGCCCAGTGCCCAGCGCAGAGCCAAGCTCAACGGTGAGAGCAGCCCCCGGGCACCTGCTGACCTCGGCGCAGCCCTCATGCACCCTGGCCGCTACTTCAGCGGCGGTGAGAGCGACACGTGCTCCTCAGCCGAATCCTCGCCCTTTGGCTCCCCACTGCTCTCCCGCTCTGTCTCCCTGCTGAAGCTTTTCAGCCAGGAGAGCCAGTCCAAGGTCATCAAGCTGAAGCACTCGGTGGCCCGCAACAGCTCACTGTCTACCGACGACAGCTCAGCCGACACCAGCCCCAGTGCTCAGCGTCGTGCCAGGAGTGCCCCGGCTGGGGCGCAGCCGCCCACAGCCCTGCTTCCCCTGGACCTGCCACCGGGCCGTGACCGGGAGCACAGCCTGCGGCTGAGCCAGGGTGGGAGCCTGCGCCTGGCTGCGGAGTACGACCCCTCCAATGCCCGGCTGCGTGTGCGCCTTGTCTCTGCCGAGGACCTCTACGATGCCCTCATCGACCTGCGCAGCATCAACTGCTGCGTCTCGCTGTGCCTCAACCCTGGGAAGCTGCAGAAGCAGCGCAGCACCATTGTCAAGAACAGCCGCAACCCCATCTTCAACGAGGACTTCTTCTTCGATGGGCTGGGCCCCGGCCACGCCAGGAAGATGTCCCTGAAGCTCAAGGTGGTCAACAAGGGCGGCAGCCTTAAGCGGGACACGCTGCTGGGGGAGAAGGAGCTGCCTCTCACCGCCCTCCTGTCCTGCCTGTAGGTGCCTGCTGCCAGCCCTGGAGGGAGCCCATCCACCTGTGCGGCTGGGGTGAGGGAGGGTAGGCTTTCTCTGTCCCCCAGCCCTGCTAGAGGAGGGTTTGGAAGGGCCCCCTGAGGAGGGACAGGGTTGTGGTAGAGCATGGGGATCCCCAGAAACAATGCTGCTGTGGTGCTCTGCCAGCACCAGCCCTCCTGTGAAAGGGCAGGCAGGGCTGGCAGCCACAGCCTCTACCCCAGCTCCCTCCCTGCTCCTGCCTGGGGCTGCATCTCCTGGAGCCCAGCAGGAAGTGGGGAGCCTCTAGTCCAGTCCCCACCAGGAACAATGGAAACACCTGGTGGCCTCTTCTCTCCCTGTGCCTGTGGTCTCCACCTGGCTGCCACATAAGTTGGACTTGGGTAGATCTCTGTAGCACACTTATTGCCACCTCCCAGAGCTCCAGCTCCTGGAGTCAGGTGACAGCATCAATCTCAGCTTTAATTCAAAAGACAAGTTTCTAGTCTTGGAATCTGAAAAGAAAATACTGCAGAGGTGACATGAGAATGGGGGAGAAGTCAGGTTTGTGGCTTTTGAGCCTTTCCTGGAATCTTCCTAGCCCTGCAGGGCTGCAGAGATGCACAAGTCAGCTTGGTCTGACACCTGCATCCTCCTGGGCCACCCTCACTGCCCATCCCAGCATTGTCCACCACCTGGATAACTAGCCTGAGACAGTGGGAGCGGGGAGGATGCCAGCTGGGGCATTTTTGTGGATAGATAAAATCCGCCGTGTTGTTGTTTGGTGTGGTGTCACCCATCGTGTCGGACTCGTGCATGTTTCTGTGCAGGGAGCAGGATTCACAACGCTCCCATCCCCGCCTGTTGCAACATGCATGGACACACATGCACACACGTGTCCCTCTGTGTTAACCTCTGTTTTGGCAGTCAATGTTCCTTCCTTATCCTTTGCAGCAGATGGCAGATCTTGGTGTTGGCTATTTATATCTGAGGCTGATCTTTTGCAGTGTTTTACTTTCGTCTGTAAATACGTTTCAGGTATGCGAGGCATGGTTCTGATCGTGCTGTGTTTGCATGTCAGGGGAATTTGGGATTTTGGGTGATTGTGGCTGTTTGTTGAGCTTGTTGCTGAAAACAAACCATGCAGGACATAAGGAGCAGACGTGTCCCTTCTTCACAGGGCGTTTCCCACCTGAGCCTTCCCAACACTCTCCAAGATGATCCTTGATCCCCAGGTACCCAGGCTCATCCTCAGGGTAGATGGGGACTCTGAGGAAGGCGGGACAGGGAGATAGGCCACATCCCTGGGTGCAGGGTGAACATCCTGCCCCTGAGGTGATCTAGGGCAGGAAGGGAATCCTGCCCAGCTGGCTGCTGCCTGACAGCCCCCTGCACACCCCACCAGTAGCTTGTGCTCCATGGGGTGCTGTGCCTGTGAGGGGTTGGGGGGACCTGGGTGCTGCTGGGGGCGGAGTGGACCCAGCAGGCTGAGAGGGGAGGCGGAGTGAGAGCTGGGCAAAAATTCTGGTGCTCTGAGAGGTTTAAGGGGTGACACATCCCCCACAGAAGAGTTGTGTGCCTTTGGGTTTGGGGAAGGGGGATGCTGAGAGCAGAGCCGGGGGATGCTGAGAGCAGAGCCCTGGGATGCTCCTTGTGTTGGGGCTGGCCCTGGAGGGACACTCAAGGACCTGGGGGCTGTTGTCCTACCCCACCCCATCTTGTCCCAAGGCTGTCTCTCCAGAGTCAGGTGTGTGGCCATGCAATGAGCCCTGGGATGTGGTGCTGTGAGCCCTGCTCCATGCTAGGCTGGTGGTGTGGGAGCCAGTGAATCCGAAAAATCTGATAAAAGAACTGCCCAGAACTCTTTTAGGCCTTGCTCTTGTTTCACAAGGGCTGTTGCCTGGACGGGTCTCTCCTCTGCTGGAGCTATTTTCTATTGTTCCTGCTTTGATAATTTTGTGTCTGAATTTAATGATGCTTTTTTGGAGTGAAAAATATATTAATAATACCTGAATGGAATGTTTCTTTACAGATGATTTCCTCTTTTTAGTGCAATAAAGTCATTTCTAAAGCAGATATAAGTGTGGCCCTGACTTCTGCTTTTCCCAAGGTATTCCCTGTTATCATCCCTGTGGACTCCCACCCTGGTATGGTGGAGGAGGGGAGTAGACCTGGGACCTCAGCAATGTCCAGACACGGGGCAGCACTGCTCTTCTGGGTGCTGCTCCCCTTTCCAAACAGCCTTGCAGAGGCACAAGGTGCTTTTGAAGCTCTTCCCTGGTGCTGCTGACCAGCCATGGAGTGAGGTGGGAGTGAATATTCTGGGGAGAAGTAGGTACGTGGGGAAAGGTGCTGTTCCTGCTTGGGAGGCAGACTCAAGGCTGTCCTGAGCCAGGGCAGTCCCTTTGGGGCTCTGGTGAGGAAGAGCCCACCAGCCCACACACTGTGGGTATCCTTACTCCTCCACGCCTGCTTCCCCAGCCTGGTCCCTGCAACATTTCTTGGCACTGCTCCTGATGAAGAAGATGATGATGGTTTTGTGCTCCCTGTCAGCAGTGTGGGCTGGAGCTCTGCCCTCGTGGGGGACTTTAAGCTCCAGGAGACCCTCAGAGGGCTCTTTGGCACACAGCCAACCTCTGAGACTATGGCAGTGCAGCAGCAGTTCCTGCTGCTCTCTGAGCTTCCCAACCTTTTCCCCTCAAAGCCAGCAACTCCTGCCTGGCAGCGTTTGGGCATGAAATACAACCCTGCGATGTCTGTTGTGCTGAGCCCTGTCTGCAGTGCTGCGGGACAGGTCAGCCATGAGCGACAGTTGTCACAATGAGCCACTCCCAGGGCACCCCCAGTCCAGCTATCAGCATTCAGGTTACTCTCTTTTCTCCCCAAAAGGAGATAAATTTGTCACTTCCAAATCTGCTTTTAGCCAGATGCTACTGAAGAAAATAGGAATGTTTGTCTGTTACCTAAATGCCATTTTTCTAATTTCTACTATTCTGATCATTTGACATTTTTGGTAGCTATAGAGGCTGGGTGGGAACAGATCTGCTCTCTCTCCTCTGGCCCCCACAGAGGTGGAGAAAGCAGCTTGGCAGGTGCCAATATTTTGAGTAGTGCTTTTTCTAGAGGTGCAAAGCTGCAGCAGTTAGTAATGAGATGAGGCTGATTGAGCTAGTCTGAACAAGAGTGGATGGGGTCAGCCTGAGCACGCAAAAATCCCTGGAAAGTGTTCAACATTCAAAGTGCTGGAAGCAGCCAGAGAGGTGGAGAGGGGTGTCTTGTGGGAGAAGATTTAACTCTGAATTTGTAATTGAGTCACTGTGGGAAGGAAATGTGGCTGCTTCACTGGACTTGGGAGGGTTGGGTCATGCTGAGAGGAGCCTCTGAGCTGTAGGCGGGTGGGGGGGAGCAGGGATATGTCCGCATTCCACAACACAGCCCCTCGGGTCAGGGGATGCTGTTGGAGGCTGCCAGGTGAGAGCCTGAGCCCAAGGACAGCTCTGTCTGTCACTGCTGACACCAGGGGATATCTGAGCCCCCGGATTCCTCTGGCCAGAGGTCCCCAGGCTGTCGCAGCTGCAGCACATGTTTGAGTGGCCTAATCCGTGCAGGAAATTGAGGCAGAGCAGGGGAGAGGAGGGAGATGGTCGGATGTGGAGAAGCTGGTGGCAGCCACCACCCCCTTTGCCTTTATCTCCAGAGTGAGGTTCACCTGGGTGAGAGGCACACACAGGCTTTGGCTATTTTTAGTCCTGTGTTCCCACAGTGCAGAGGAGTCAACTTCTGAGAAAATTGCCTGGAGCTCATTTAGCCATAGCGTGATGGCTAGCGAGGGAGGGAGAGGGCAAATTAGAGGCTCAATCTCATCTACGGTGTAAGGCAGGGCCAAGGCTCCCAGGAACCGTTCCACAGTAAGGAGGCCAGCAGGGCTGACCCTACTGGGGGACACCCTGTCCCCGCTTTGTCCCCTAGCCAGGCAGGGGGTCCTGGGGCCAAGTGCTGTCTTTGGCTGATGCTCGGGGGTCCTTGGCAGTGGCTGGAACAGCTGCTTCTCCTCTGCAGATTTTTGGATGCATTGGGTGGGGAGGAGTCTCGAGTGCTCCTCCGGACAGCCCCAGGAGAGCCATTTCCCTCCCCCCACCCACGACCCGGCTGCCGATTTACCGTTCCGGTCAGAAAAGCATCTTCCCGTTGCCTGGCAACGTTCGGCCGGCGGAGGCGGGGAGCCCACGCGGGGCGCGGGGGCTCCACGAGGGGAAGGAGGTGGTGATGAGGGTCCTGCGCCAGAGCAAGCCGGGTGCCCGCGGCGACTCCGCCACCTGGCTCTGGGCACCTAGACCGGGCCGGTGGAACGCGTTGGTGCGGGACCGGGTGTGCAGAGGCTCAGGGCTGGCGCAGGGAAGTGGCGGGCGCGCCCCGGGCAACCCCGGCTGCAGGAAGCATCGGCCTCCCCCGGCACCGCGCATCAGCGCTTTATTGCAAGCATTTGTCTTCCATGGCAGCGTGTCTGCTTTAAAGCGGAGAGGAGAGACTCCCACTGTTACTGGGAGGAAAACAGAACTTAATTGAATGCCACAATCTCTTACAGTTACATCAGGCGAGAGAGAGTCACATCAGTGGAGAGCAAACCCTCTGTGCTCTCCCTGGGCCCCTGTATCCTGGCACCCTGCAATCCGTGCTCCTCCAGGGGACATGGAAACCCGCCGGGCTGGAGTCCCAGGGGTCTGCCGGCAGCAGAGATGACCTGCAGCTCCTTATCAGCCCGAAGGCACTTGGTGCTTTGCTGAAAGCCTGTACCGTGGCAGCCGCCGCCGGGGGGTACTCAGGGCATGCACAGTCAGACCCAGTGCACACAGCTCCCTGTGTTCTGCTTTTCCATTTGCACTTTGCTCTCCTGGTTTGAGGCTAGCAATCCAATCAGGGGTCCAGATCTTGCCTTTATAGGCAGAAGAAAGCAGCAAGCGGACAGAAAGCATCATTTCGGACACACCTTCCCCATTAATTCAAGCCCCTGGAGCCAACCCTGGCTCAGGCCTTCAGCTGGGGTGGGCATACAGAGCACGTGTAGAACTGTGCCAGAGGACTGCAATAAGCATGTGGTTGCAAGGATAGATGAGGGTGAGGGCAAAGGCTGCTTTGCAGAGTGAGGGATCTCTTCTGCCTCTCCTCTCCCTCTCCTCTCACTTTCCAATGACCTGCTCCTCACTAGCTGCCTGCTGGAGTTTGAGATGCTGCCTTTAAAATGTTTGCAAAATTCCCAAAGCATCAAGTAGGCCCAGGTGGGAAGGAAAAAAATGGCATAAATAAGCAGACAGGAGGATTTGTTAAACACCAGCAGCTGCTGGCAAACACTTTAATATCAGTGCAGCCGGGCACCAATCAATAGAGTGTTTGGGACCATGGGCTGGCACCAGTGCCTGGTGGGGGGTAAGCCCAGCATGGCTGTGCTGCACAGGGATCCTGCTGCAGTGGAGGGCACCCAGCTGGACCTGGCATGGAGCAGGGCTGGGAGATGCTCTGGGTGCAGAGCTCTTCTTCTCTCCTTGCTTCCCACCCAGACTCCAAAGCCCCAGGTGAGAGGACATGTCTCCATCTCCATCCCCACAGCCCTTTGGCTCTGTCCTAACATCCTGTCTGCATCAGGACCATTTGACTTGGTGGGCTGTGGTGGGAGCAGGGCTCCAGCCCAGCGTAGGACCACATCTGCCTTCGTGGCCAGCCTGCCAGCAGAGGCACACATGGACACAGCATGGGAGCTGGGCTAGCATTGCCATGGCAATGAAGATAACAGCAGCTGCCAGGCAGAGAGCAGGGAGGGCAGGGAGCTTGGGCAATGCTGCAGCCACACTCACATGTGCCAGGGCAGCGCCGGGATCCCAGTCCAGGTCCTGGACATCCTGTCCTGCGACATCCCCTGTCCAAGCCCTGTAACGGCCCAGACAGCAGTGAGCGCATCTTCACTGTGGTGAAGCCCTCAGCACCCTTCACACCCTTGACAGAGCCAGAGGCTGCACTGAGAAATGCATAAAAATATAGATTCAGACCCTCCAATATCTCACTACCAGGCTATAATTAATTCCCATTTGCAGCCCTGTCCAATTTCCCTCACACAGCTCACAACTCAGTCCAATTGTCATATGAGGTTTCTGTAATCGCTAATCTTATCAAGCGCATTGGTGTGAAGTGAGAACACTGCAATTAGCCAGGGCAGGAGCTGCAGGTGAGCTACTGCTTGGCAAGTGTTTTGGGGAGGACATGCACGGGCTCCAGCACTTTCCAGGGCCATCCCTTGCCCAGTCCAGGCAGGGTGGGATGCTCAAGGGGACCGAGGCCATGGCCGGTGCCCAAGCCACTGAGCACCAGCAGCTGTTGGGAGCTTCACAGGCAGTACAGTCCTGCTGCCAGCCTCTGCTGGGGGGAAGCTCACCTCTCCCAGCCCCCAAACACCACGATGCTGTCAGAGGAGTCAAGAAACCTGAAGAGGGTGCTGGCAAAGAGTCCTTGAACAGCCCCAAACCCTCCCAGCAGGCTCAGGAAAATGGGGTATAAACCTGCAAGAGATCCTGCTCTGAGCTACCGTTTGGGAGCTGACGCTCTTTTTGGCGGACAATCTGTTCCCTCCCACCCCAATGGCTGCCTGCCCACTTCATCTCCTGGTAGAGGTGTCGGGTGGGGGGAGCAGGTCTGGTGCCCAGGCCATTTCAGCAAAAGCCCCCAGGTTTTGCCCAGTGTGGGGAGGTTGGGAATGCCTCAGACTTGGTCACTGCTCATGCCAATCATCCTGGACAGGTGGCTCAGACAGCCCCAAGCTGCACTTGCCAGCACTAAGAGAGCATTGTGGCGCCAGGCCTTGTGTGTGCAGGTGCCCTGCTGATGGCACACGGCTGGGGGTGGCGGGGTCCCCACTCTCTCTGCAGCTGTAGCATCCGTGGGGTGGTGTTGCACAGGTGCCTACCAAAATCTCTCACTTCGCCACCCCCAGCCGTCTGTCGCTGCTGACACTCACTGACAGGAATAAACTCCAACACCTACCATATGCTTTGCTACTTCTGCTGCCTGCGCTCACTTGTTACTATCTATTTCC